TAACTTGACCTTTGTCAATGCTAAATAAATGACAATTTCATTCGAATTAGTTTAATTCTGAATAAAATTTTTATTTCGTTTTCTGTACATAAAACGGTTCTTAAATGAATTTGTCTTGAAACTACGTCAAGTTTTCAATCCGATAATTTACCATCTTGCCTGCTTGCGGTTGAAGGATCGGCTTCCACAGCAGGGGTCTGTTTATTGAAGCGTCATTTTCAGTTTGTTCGACTGTACATTTGTGAACCCACTGTATAGGACCCTTAACTCAATCTAGGCTCAAGAAAATAATGAAAAAATTTTAGGCAACGCGAAAACAGTCCGGAATGATAACTCGAGTCGTTTCGGGAAATTCATGCAAGTCTGTTTTGATTCAAGATGGATGATTGCGGGTTGTATCATCCAAGATTATCTCCTAGAACAATCGAGGCTGACTTTTCAGGGACCTGGCGAACGCAATTATCACGTTTTTTACCAATTAGTCGAAGGAGCGAAAGTGAGATAATTACTCTCGGCCGAATTTCGGAAACAATGCGTTTTTATTTTAGCACAATAAGGAGCTAGCAACACAATTACACTTAAAAGACGCCAGTTTTTACAATTATTTGAATCAGTCGAGTTGTGCAAAACTTGAAGGTGACGATAGAAGGCTGGATTCGTTAAGACTGGCTTTTAACGTACTTCAAGTACCCACAAATATGTGCAATGGAATTTTTCAAACACTTTCAGCTATTCTCTGGTTGGGAAATCTAAGTTTCGAGGATATCGACGGTGAACGATGTCAACTAGCCGAAAAAGATACTGAAATTTTAGAAATAATTTCATCTCTCTTAGAATTAGAGTTAGAGTCTTTGAAACAAGTAGTCCTTTTAAGACAAATCAACGTTAGAGGAAATATCACCGAAATTCCACTCAAATTACAGGAAGTACGTTGCACCGAATGTCATTAAAATGATGAATGCATGGTATTTAATTTTAGGCAAGAGAGAATCGACATGCGATGGCGAAAGCGCTGTATTCCCGGACTTTTGCTTGGCTTATAAATCATATAAATAACTGTACGAATCCGGGACAGGACTCTACGAGGTTTTTGGGTGTTTTGGATATTTTTGGATTTGAGAATTTCGCAGTCAATTCTTTTGAACAACTCTGTATTAATTATACGAATGAGAAGTTGCACAAGTTTTTCAATCACTACGTATTCGCGCTGGAGCAGGAGATTGTAAGTTGCAGCAAGGGTGGTCCACACTACAATTTCTAAACTTAAAATTAAATTAAATTAAACTTAATTAATTAATTAATTAATTAAATTAAACTTAAATTTTAAAAAGGCATTGTCGTGACAACTTGACAAATTACACTACCCAACAATTTTTTTTAATGTGATTGATTTATTGACACGTGTATCAGGGTACATTAACATCCCTAATTACGAATTTGATAAGAAAAATGCTCCATCACGTACAGATTTCAAGTTACAGGAAAATAGTTTTCTGAAATTTTATCGTAAAAATTGTTCATTTCAAATAGAAAGTAATTAAATAGACGACCAAAGAAATTAATTTATTCACTAAACAAGAACAATGTTGAAAGATGTATAAGATTCCAACATAAATCTATTGTAGATGAGTTTTTTGCAAAAGCTGACTTTCTTTTTGTAGGGTGTTTTAACTTCCCTTATCAGGAACCAGCATCTCCTATCATAGCTGTGTCCCATCTCCCCTTGCAAATTTGGGGGGAAAAAAATTAAATGAGAATGGATTTTAAGTGGTTCGTTTTTCGGCGATTTTGTCGAACATACTTACATATGATATCTTAAAATGCCTAACTTTAAAATCTGACGTGTTATGGAATTTTCTTTATCATTTTTGAGTTTAGCACATAGAATTTAACAAAAAATAACTGTTTTCTTCTCAGTCACAAAATGCTTGTTGGCTAGTGTTAAGATATTTCATTTGATATATCAGTGAGACAAATCAAATGCACTAAAAAAAAATTCAAAAAGTCCACACACTTTGAACTAAATAATTTTTTTCTAATTTAAATGAATTTAAAATGCTTAAACTTTAAAAAATCATTACTCAATAACTATTAGGCCGATTTCCTCCAAATAAAGACCATTCTAAAGGGATGGACTTATCCTTTAGAATGATATACAATTTGGAATTGAACATTGGCGAACTTTTCTTCGAACCAGAAACCAAATTTTTAAAAATAACATACCGAGTAGTTTTCAAGATATGATTTTTTGAAGTTAAGGTTTGCTATTCAGGCTTTGCGCCAGATAGGAGAAATGCATGTCAATCTTACTTAAGATTACATTTTTATAAAAGTATTTGTTTTAAGGTGCTTCTTTTGTTTAAAAATGGTCAATTGCATCTTCTTTGTTCTAATTAGAATTAAAAAAAACTGTTTCTCTACTTAAAACAAACAAAGAGTATCAGTGTACAGTGTATAAAGAGGTTTTTTTGATCTAAAAATGACCACTGATTATTGAGCAAAAAGAATCTACACCTTTTTCAAGTGTAATTTAGAAACCACCACATATAATTCAGATTAGTCAATTTAGTTTCAGAAAGCATAAATTGAAATTCAGATTAGTCATTTGTATTTCAGAAAGTATTAATTGTAATTCAGAAACTTTTACATGTAATTCAGAACAGTAAACAAATTCAATTTCATGTTACATGTAATCCACAAAATATCAATTGTAATTCAGATGAGTAACTTCTTGTTATCTCAAAATAAAGTTTACACATAAACACGAATTATTTTATTTGCAAAGGAATTTTGATAATGTAGTTTTTAAACAAAAATATCGAATTCTGAATTACAATTGACAAATTCTCAATTACAAATGACAAACACTGAATTATAACTAACACTTTCTGAAATACAATTGACTAATCTGAATTTCAATTTACGCTTTCTGAAGTTAAATTAATTAATCTGAATTACATCTGATGGTTTCTGAAATTCAGTTTACGGTTCTGAATTACAATTAATACTTTCTGAAATACAATTGACTAATCTAAATTACAATTAACGTTTTCTGAAATATATCTTATGCTTTCCGAATTACCCTTGAAAAAGGCACCTTTTTCAAGTATAATTAAGAAACCATCACATGTAATTCAGATTAGCTAATTTAATTTCAGAAAGCATAAATTGGAATTCAGATTAGTCAATTAATAATAATAATCCTCAAAAAAATAAAAAAAAAATAAAAATACATATATATAATAATAATAATAATAAAAATAAAAACAAAACAACAAAAATATATATCAAAATTGACTACTAAGCTCAACCCCAAAATAATTAAAAATATGTATTATACGAGAAAAAAAATATCATAATTAACATTAACATTAGTTAATTTGCTTGTATTATTTGCTTTAATTAGTACACAGGAACTCTTTGTTTGTTTTAAGAAAAGAAACAATTTATGTTTATTCTAATCACAGGTGTCTCAAAATTCGCGCACTTCCTTGAAAAGGAGTAATTGGGTAGTCCTCCAGAGTACTGAAAAAATGTTAAAAAAATTATATCTATAAAAATTTCGAAGTTATAAGAGTTGAAATTGTGCACTTTAACTCTATTTATTTCTGTTGTAAAAATAATTTTCCAAGTTTTTTTGCTACAGGCAAGAATAAAGAAGAATAAACAAGGAAGCTGTATCTTAAATTGTAACTCTGTTTAGTGTTATTTGTGGTTTTTATTGGCAAAATTTTTGTACATATACAAACGTCAAAAAATATATGTCAAAATTTTTTGACAGAATTTTTTTAACATTTTTTCAGTACTTTGGGGATTACCCAATTACCCCTTTTCAAGGAAGTGTGCGGATTTTGAGACAACCTGTAGAACAATGAATGCAATTGACCATTTTTAAGCAAAAGAAGAGTCTTAAAACAAATACTTTTATTGGATATTGGATAAAAATGCAATTTTAAGTAAGATTGAAATGAAAATTTGGATTTTACACGATGGTGATGATGAAAAAAAAAATTATTCGTAGGGTTTTTCTTAGATTATTTCGATTTACTTCGAACTTCTTCGAACAGTATTCGAGAAAAGTTCGCAAATATTAAATTTCAAATTGCATATCATTCTAAAGGGCAAGTCCATCCCTTTAGAATGGTCTTTATTTGAAGGAAATCGGCCTAATAGTTACTGAGTAATGATTTTTTGAAGTTAGATTATTTTAAACTCATTCAAATTATTTAGTTTAAAGTGTGTGGACTTTTTGAATTTTTTTAGTGCATTTGATTTATCTCACTAAACAAAATAATGTATAATTTGTCAAGTTGTCGCCCTGTGTAATACTCATTTTTGTAGTGTGGACCATCTTCTCTGATTAATTTTGTGTAATAATAAACCAACTGAAAATTTTAGTACGAACAAGAAGCAATCCAATTTAACCACATCTTCTTCACCGACAACTCCTTATGTTTGGAGTTATTGGAAAAGCCTCCTTGTTGTGTTTTGAGATTGTTATCCGAGCAATGCCACTTGCCTCGAGGCTGTGATGCTTCGTACATTTCGAATTTGCATGCCGAATTTGAAAATCACGAAAGATACGTCAAGGGTGAAGACCGGAGACGTTGGGAGACCGAATTTGGGATAAAGCACTACGCCGGTTGTGTCACTTATTGCGTTAAGGGTTTCGTGGATAAGAACCGCGATGTGCAACAAGACGTTTTCTTTGATATCATTTCACGGAGTAAAAACGAATTCGTTCAAGATTTATCCAAGTATCAAGATTTAACTAATCTCATGGCTTCGCGCCAGATTGCAAACGGCGGAACAACTGTTTCAAGAGGAACTAGTAAAGGCAAACCAACTGTTTCTGATACTTTTCGCCACCAATTGCAAGCTCTTGTTGATGTTTTGCAATCGACGACGCCGTGGTATGTCAGGTGTATCAAACCAAACAGCGAAAAACTCCCAAATGATTATGACAGTAATCTAGTCTTAGACCAATTGAAGTATTTAGGAATGTTAGATATAATTCGTATACGAAAAGAAGGCTTCCCGATTCACATGAACTTTGAAGATTTCGTCAATAGGTATCACTGTCTTTCCAAAAATCGTCTTCCTCCTGACATGATGAAAGCCTGTCGGGAATTACTCGAGAGTTATAATTTACCAAAGACTGAATGGCAATTAGGCAAAACCAAAGTTTTCATGCGGTCTCACATACACGAACCCTTGGAGGAAGCCAGGAACAAAATTATTTTATCACGAGCTGTCATTATACAGAAAATTTATCGTAAATACATTGCCCGAAAGGAGTTTTTAAAAATACGAAATGCCGTTTTGCGAATCCAACACGCTTATATAGGTTGGAAATTGCGAATCGAATTTTTGAGAAAGAGACGAGCTGCTATAATAATTCAGAGTCATTTAAGGGGAGTTTTTGCCCGTGAAGTAGCAGCTGCCTTACGCGAAATGAGACGAGTGGAAGAAGAAATGAGAAGAAGGGAGAAACTGGAAGAGGAACGTAAAGCCCGTGAAGCAGAAGAGGCGCAAAAGCGACTCCAGGAGGAAGAGTTGAGTAAAAAGAGCGAAGATTTGGAAAGAAGCGAAAAGTGGGTTTTACAACAATTTGAGTCGTTTTTGATTGTGTTTTTCAGGGCTGCTGAACAGGAAATAGCCGCATTATCACATATGGCCGAACAATTGAAACCTCGACTTACCGAACCGGTGACTGAATCTGTCGATCTTGATAACCTCTTTGCGTTTTTATCAGATGTACAACCCCAAAATCGCAACCAAATTATCGACGAAATTGGCGAAAAAATGGATGAGTTAGTTGAGGATTTAGATGTGGAATTGGAGACTGTGATTCAACAAGAATTAGAAGGGTTGGCTTTGGAGCAACAACAGCCGACTCCCCCAAAACTTGCTATGCCTACTTTACCTGAACCAACAGGCCCTCCTCCACCTCCACCTCCCGCGTTCCAGAACCCGCCAGAATCCCCCCAACAAGAGGTTAAAGAAACCAACAATGAACCTATCTATGAGGCAGTTCTCCCACGGGAGGACACCACATGTGTGTCACCTCCTCCATTACCTGCTCCTCCACGCTTGCCTCCAGATTCGCCTAAAGCTAGTCCGCCGGTGTCAAGACCAAACAGTGCAATTGTAAGTGTTACTGAGCTATTTCAAAAATAAATATTAAATAAAATTGTTTTTTAGCCCCCAGTATGGCGCTACAACAACCATGAACAGGAAGTGAATAACGCAGAAAGGGAGCAAAGAAGAAAATGTCGGGTTGAGAAGAAGTTGCAAGAGTTGACTGAAACTAGTGAAAAAGAAAGTTCAGCAGAAGAAACGTATCATGACATGATCGAATTTGCTGAAAGTTATTTCAATGCTCATGAGAGAAGTCCCGAGGGAACCATTATAGCGACTTTGACGAGGAAGAGACAGAGTTCTGAATTGATTCCAAAGTGTGAGATGGTAACTTATTACAAAGGGACAACTATTCCGAATTCGCATATACATATGTACGATCCGGATAACATCAATATTGCTTGTAATATGTTCAGGGTAAGTCATCTAGAAATATTGTCGTATCAACAAGAAATTACTCCCTAGGATTTAGGGATATTCGTGAATAGGTTGCCATAAATTTGATTAGGTTGGTTTTTGGTGACAAACAAAAGATATCGTAACTAGTGTCAAAATTTAGTCACCTGTCAGCTTGTCAGGAGATTTCAATTGATAGCTGACAGCAGGTTAACAGAAAACGTCAACCGTCAACAACAAGGGGTAACCAACCCTAAGCATTCAAAATTACTTCTGAAAATTTTAGTAACAAACAACATGATAAACGTAATTTTCCTAAAAGTTGCTAAAAACTATGAATACAGTTAAACATTATAAAACCATCGCCGTCTCGATAGAAATAATCTGGCCTGGGCATTTCTTAAGTTCCAGTGATTCCCGTTGGCGCTTTGAACTGGGGAATTTTTTGACACATCTAGTTTTTGAAGGTTAAAGTGTTTAAACCTCAAAATTATTGACAGTGACATTTTATTTCTTGAAATATACATTTTCAGAAATTTTAAAATAGATTATGCAAAGGTGAAAAGTAACCGCAGGAAGGAAGGTAATTAATAAACACTACAAAAACAAGAAATTGTTTATAATTTCAGAATTTTTCTAAAGTCAGGCTTGCTGTGAAGGAAACTTGTAGGAATTACATTATCAGTCCTAGTTTTACCAATATATTAGCCAACACTGGCTGTAAAAGTTTAACTAAGATAATGTAATTGCTGATTTGTGTTCAGCTTTTACACATACATTTTGGTCTTCTAAACGTTTCACTTTCAATTTGAACACTTTAATTTCATGTGTCAGTTTTGCAAAATAATTTTCTTTTGTGGTCACTTCAGTTTCGGCATCAGTGAAGGTTTTTTCAGATAAATTTTCATTATGAAATTCATACGGAAGTTGGGAGAAACGTTAGTGATGGAAGTAAGACTTCTGTAGAAATGATTTTAAGCAATGTAAAAGTGTGGTCTGGAGCATTTTAATTACAAATTTTAGCTTAAAAATTGTGGGAACATTACCAGGCTGTCGGTATTCTAATTTGGACGATAGTTTGTGAAAAGACGTTTGCAAGGACTTGTCCCGACAAGTTGGAATACAACACTTTTTTATGAGTTTTATTCATGTTTTCATAGACTTAATACATATTACTTTATCAATATTAAAATAATTTAACAAATATAAGAAAAATACTAACACACAAGAACAACCAAACAAACCAACTAAACTAATGATGAATAACACAACGAATAAAAGCTGGGAAGGAAGGGTACAACAAAACAAGATTTCAAGAAAGAGTTAATTAATGTTGCTTTGTTGACAGCTCGTTAAGTGACTTGACACTCTTGACACTTGGCGTACTACATACAGTGCGATCAAAAAGTTTATCTATCAAGCAAGCCTAGAAATTTAAAACGTGTGTCTGTGGAAGATAAAATGTCACAATGGCAAATAAGAGATGTCAAAATATTTTTTATGTAAATTATGACAGGAAACCGTGGTGAACGATTTTTATGAATAAACACCAACAAAATCTTATTTTAGTTTGTTTTGCGACGGTTCATAAAATAATTCAATTTAATTATCTCAATGCTCAATGTAAACTGTAACAACAAATCGTGGTGAACGATTTGTATGAATAAATTCCAACTACATCTTATTTTAGGGTGTTTTAAGACGTTTCATACAGTAATTCAATTTGTTTAGATCAATATTTTAATTTATTATTATTTTGATAATTTATATTATTTTGATAAAAACTTTAAAAAAAATATCGAACTAATAAAATTTTGAAAAATGTAAAATTTTGTTAGCCTTGGAAATGTTGTCTTTATCTCTTTTTGACACTAGTTACGATCAAGATTTATAAATTATAAAGTAAGAAGGTTGCCTCGCAACTTTGCACCAATCAGGTGTGCACATTATTCGCGCGAATTGACGTCACTGGAGATTTCGTTCAAAAATAGGATATGCAACCAAACATATTATTAAGTTAAAAAACTAGAATTCCGTAAAATAAATACTGATAAAATATTTTTTATTAAGGGTAAAATAAATAAAATATATACATAGATAAAAAATATAATAGTTATTTATTATACAAGACGATAAAATTGAATTTTGAGAGCAATTTAACATCAAGGCGTCAGCCGAGACGCTAATATGCTCGAAAAGATAATGAAAATTTTATTGTTGTGTACAATATAAAATTTTATTCAATCCTCACTAATTTTGTAGTCAATTTGGTCGATATTTATAAATGTCAAAGTAAAACTTAACAATGAAATCTAATGTCAAAGATCGTTAGCAACTAACAACCGCAGATGTATCCATTTTTTATCATCTAGACGATAAAATTTAATTTTAACATGAAGAAAAAAGTAGATAAAAAAAAATTTTTAACATAGAGGATTTGTTTTGTTAAAACTTTATTTTAATTTATAATTTTATTAATTTTTTCTTCGATTTGTTTATCAGAAATTTTATCAATAACTATATATTTATCGCAGAACACTGCTCTTTTTTGTATATGATAGAAAATTAAATTTTCTTTCCAATGGTACCAAACATAAGCGGTTATCACCAAGAAGTCCGGAATTATTATAAATAGACCGCTCCGGGTGCTAAAAATCGACCAAAATCCAGGCTTCTGAGGCAAACAAATCCAATTATGATCACTCACCTAATGTGAAATCCCCTATGAAAGTCTCAAATGGCAAGTAATTGCAGAATCTCGACAAAAATTTAAAAAAATACTTTAAAATCGATCCATAAAACATTTTTCACATTTCTAGTGATCTTAAAGACTCAAAAAAGTGCACAAAACGTTATTGGGTCAAGTTTAAAAACTTACGAATTTTTTGAGTTTAAAAACGCTTGAAATATGGTTTTTTAGACGTAAAATTACCCGTTGAACACGATGCAACAGGTTAAAATACTCTGCGATGTATAGTTTTTGCGATATTGAGTAATAAGCTAAGAATAAGGCTAGAAGCATACACGATCTATTAAGGAAAATGTGATAAATAATGCAAGATGCAACACAATAATAATGCAAATCTGAAATCTGACATAAGGTGATCAATTTCAGACAATTCAAAATCAAAATTGACGACAAAAAGAAGACTTTAACTTGAAATATACTTTGTTTTCGCTACAAATGAAAATCTCAAAAAATTGCACACTTAAGTGTGTTGGTCCTCAGATCGAGACAAATCAGGTCATAAATGTAAAACAAGAGAAGACGACAAAAACCTAAACATGTCGCGGCTAAACTCCACTGACGTCACCTTATAGCCATCTTACTCGCCCTTTAGTGTCTCTCACTCCACGTTACCAGGCAACCTTCTTACTTTAATTTATAAATCTTGAGTTAGACATCTTTTGTTTGTCACCACAAATCAACTTAACCAAATTTATGGCAACCTATCCACGAATATCCCTAAATCTTAGTGAGTAATTTCATGTTGATAAGATAATACCATTGTTAAACTAATTATTATGCAAGTGACAGATCGCTACTAACAGTATTTTGAAAGCTAATTTAGTTTTACTTTCCCAAAATTTTTATTTTTTTACATTTTAATAAAAATAAAGGTGGGCATATGATACATCATTGAATTCAGAAAAAAATGCTCTTTCAAAAATTATTAAATTTGACTCTTTGTGCCATTAAAAAAAAATCAAGTTAGCCTTGTATTTTCAAAATAAATTATGGTAGAAAATTAAAAAAGAACTCAGATGATTGAATTTAAACACTTTTTTCTAATTTGCGTTTATAATACGTTTATTAACGTCTCTCGATCAAAAAGTCTTTCTATCAAGTAGGCGTCCTAGTTGAGGACGTATGTTGCATGGCAGTTCGTATGTTATCTAGATGTCAAAAAATTATTTTTAAAAATTAAAACATTGAGCTATTTAAATTGAATTATTCTATTCATATACCAGGTGAATAAAAAGTATGGAACGAAGCGTTTTTCTCGTAAACTAACTACTTTACAAAAAAAATAATTAGTGTAGCGTAAAGTCCAATTAAAATGTGACCATTTATTAAGAATAACATTTTTCGAAATTTTTTTTAGTTTTCCAGTTCTGGAAAAAAATTTTTTTTTTAATGGCAACCCACTATGGTAATTTTTTTAATTAAAGATTATGATCTAAAAATGACCTCTAATTAAACAGAATTGTTTTCTAGTCAGTAGTCTTTTTTTTAATAAATTGTTGCGTTGCGTTCCGAGCCCATCACGAAGATTTTCCGAACTTGAACGAGGGGGTCGTTTCATGACTTTGGTCGTTGGAGAGCCCGGTTTTTGGTGCAGGTGCTTTGGGGTGGTTCCGGATGGATCAAAAAATGTAAAAACAAATCATTTTCTTCTATTTTTAGTCGATTCGAAACCACCCCAAAGCACCTGCACAGAAATCAGCGCTCTCCCATGATGAAAAGCATGAAACAACCACTTCGGTTAAGTTCGGAAAATCTTCGTGATGAGCTCGGAACGCAACTTTAACAATTAATTAATAAAAAAGTACTGGCTAAAAAACAATTTTATTTAATTAAAGGTCATTTTTAGATCATAATCTTTAATTAAAAAAATTATCATGGTGGGTTGCCATTTAAAAAAAAATTTTTTTTCTAAAACCCGAAAACTAAAAGAAATTTCGAAAAATGTTATTCTTGATAAATGGTCACATTTTAATTGGACTTTACGCTACACTAATTATTTTTTTTTGTAAAGTGGTTGTTAGTTTACGAGAAAAACGCTTCGTTCCATACTTTTTATTCACCTGGTATAATTTCCACATAGTTTTTCCCGAGAAAACATTCATTGATAATTCTAAAGTTTTTAAGAAAAACAAATGGTTTAACAGCGAATTACAACAAATGCGTAATAATCTTAGCTTTGTGGCTAACGCTTACAACATGTACAAAACTTTAGAATTAAAAACATTAAAAAATAAACTAAAATGTAAATACAACCTGGCAATAAAAACTGCCAAAATAAAGTCTAATGAAGAATATTTAAACAGAAAAAACAATAATCCTAAAGCTATGTGGACTATCATTAACAAATATCGGTCAAARTCACAAAGAAATATTCCACAAACAACGCCTGATGAATTAAATAGTTATTTTGCTAATATGGCTCCTAATTTAATTGTTTCTTTACCTACCAACACCCTCGAYCCTATTACACTGTTATCCAAAAACAAACCAAAACCTCCAAATAATTTTTCGTTTAGGCATGTCACTTTCATCGAGGTCCGGGATTGCCTGAATAGTTTAAAAACTTCTAAGAGTATGGATTAAATACCGAAATTATAAAGTCTATTAAAAATATAATAATAACACCTATAACTAAGTTAATTAATTTTTGCATAACTGAAAATATTTTTCCAGATTGCTTAAAAATATCACAAGTTATACCAGTATATAAGAAAGRTGATCCCAACGACCAAAAGAATTATCGACCAATATCCTTACTTCCMATTTTATCTAAACTTTTTGAAAAGTTATTAATGTCCCAAATCTTGAAGTTCCTAAATGAAAATAACATATTGTCTAATAGTCAGTTTGGATTTAGAAAACAATTAAAGTCTGTTTTTTTTTTAAATGGAAATGCCAAACAGTCTTATCGTTGGCATCACTAGTAAATTCATTCATGGTAATTTTAATAAAGGAAGTTGGCAGTTCCGGTTTTTCGAATTAATTTGAAAACAATGTCATTAAACGTCAACACAAAAAATCGTCTAAGAAAATTTAGAGACGAAACACCAAAAAAGGAACAAATTCGGTGCCGCTAACAGTTTTTTGAAATTTGGAAACGAATAGTTCGCAAGCAAGAAGTTAGAAAAAGTGCCCGTTAAAATGTGGACGCAATTTGTAATGCAGGTTTGCTAAACATTCTCAATTTTTAGCAAGAAATTTACAAAAATACAAAATAAACATGGATGAGAAAGAACCTTGGAAAGAACGCAATTAACTTAGTGTCTTGTGCATCGTTTTTGAGGAACGAGTTGAAAAAGTAACAATTTTGAATCTAAAGCTGAAGAAAAATTTATAAAATGCATCAACTTTGAGCTCATTTCAATAAATTACACAAAATTTATTGCCAATCATCATAATACCCACTTGTATCTTTTACTAAATAACTTTTTTCTGTATATACATCCTTTTTCTTCAAAGTTTTTGTAGCAAGAATCTCATTTTTATCCACAACATTGTACTTACTTGCGGTGTATATAATAAACTTTAACGTTTTAATCCAAAAGAATGAACATTCAATAAACTTAAACTTATCAAATTTTTTAATTTAAGGACTTGTGCAAGTACATCCGCGGCGAAATGAACGCCGAACGCGAACTCCTCGTCATCCAGACAATCATCGGGCATGCTCTCGAACGCGAAGAGATCCGCGACGAGATCTTCGTCCAATGCATCCGTCAAGCCACCAACAACCCCAGTTCCGAAGGCACAGAACGCGTGTGGCTCCTTCTTTGTCTTTGCGTTGTTTCTTTCCAACCTTCCAAACTTCTCCACCGTTATTTCGTGTCATTTCTCAAGAAAAATCTGGCACAAGGGGGTAAAATCTCGCAGTACGTTCAATGGTGCATAGACAACTGCAATAACACTAAAGTGAAAGTCCGGGAACACCCGCCATCGTCAGTCGAAGTGGCGGCAATGAAACGTTTAGGAACTATCGTATGCAGATTTTTCTTTCTGGATGGACGGACGAAAGCTATTGATGTCCACCCGACCGACACAGCAGGAGACGCAGCGAGGAAATTGGCTGAAAGGTTGGGGTTGAGGAATCTAGATGGCTGGGCGATTTATCAGAGTCGACCTGATGGGGAAGAACACGTCCGAGCGCACTATTATCTCTACGATGTGATAGCACAATGGGAAATGTAATTTGGTGGTGATTTTGGAAAGTGGTTTGTGTTAATTGGGGATTTCAGGAACCAGAATAAGTTGGCACCACCGACTGGGCTTGCTACGCTTGGACGACGGAGTGCTACCACGCTGAGTGGTGGAGAGAATAGGTTTATTTTCAAAAGACGCCTTTTCAAATCTAGTCGAGAGTTGAGTCAGGATCCGGTCGAAGTCAATCTTTTATATGCTCAAGCCGTACACAGTGTAGTCAAGGTAACTTTCTAAAACTGGATAAAGACTAGGATACGACACGATGTAAAACAAAATGTCCCCGTTCTCGATAGTTCCGTTAGTGAAGCCAGATAGCGCAGTTGTTCCCTTCCCGTTTAAGTTTTAAGAGCAATAAAATAAAAAATGGCTGTATTTACATAACGGTGAGTCAAATACAAGAAAAAAAAATAGACAGATAGAGCATTAAATTCTCAATAATAAGAGACAAAGGCAATGCAAAAATTTTATTGAAAACTATATTTAAAGAATTTTCAAACATTTAGCAATTTTCGCCCCGTCTCATATTTTTGAATATGCTGCGAATGCAGTTAAAGATACAAGAAAAATATAAAAAAGAAAGTTGTAGAGAATAAAATTTCCAAGAAAAAAGGCCGTGAGAGATAGCTCTATCTTCAATGGTTTAGGTTCTAAAGACGCCCAAATGACGAATACGTGTCATTTTTACCGGTGGTCAAGAGACAAAACATTATTTTAAACCTAAACGGTTGATGAGTGAGATATGGTCTTGCAGACTCTTTTGTAGGAAATTTAATCCTCTACAACGTTGTTCCCTACATTTTTTTTTGTATCTTCAACCGTATTTGCAGCTTTCTCAAAAATACCGAACACAGTATTATAAACAATTATCAGTTTGCGTTCCGCTCAATATTTTTAAGAACTCTGCGAATATGGTTAAAAGATACAGAAAAAGTGTAAAAAAAACAAAATTGTACAGAATAAAATTTGCTGCAAAAAAGTCTGCGGGACCATATAACAATCTTCAATAGTTTAAATTGCTTTAAAATGTTCCTCTGGTACTGAATCACCAGTTAAAATGCAACGAATCCGTCGTTTGAGCGGTTTTGAAAGTCATTGAGGCCTATACCATTAAAAATAGAGGTGTCGCGGACTTTTTACTAGAAAGATGGTTTTGAAAGTCATTGAGGCCTATACCATTAAAAATAGAGGTGTCGCGGACTTTTTACTAGAAAATTTTATTTTATACAACTTTCTTTCTTACGTTTTTCTTGTATCTTTAACTGTATTCGCAGCATTTTGAAAAACATGAAGCGGAGCACATATTTTAAATTTTAAATATTTTTTTTCTCATATTTCTCGTGAAACATTTAATCGTTTGTTTTTCACAGCTTATTAAGAATATAAATCTCAACAGTTTTGCATTTTTTTCCAAGCAATTAGTAAAGTGGTTGAATTTAAATTAATTAAAAACGATTTGAAACTGAGACGGTAAAAGGGCTCTAAGCGCCCTCATTTTTACTCCGCCGTACTAGTCCAGAAAATCAAGCAATTTTGTATCTCGTTTTGTCTCCTATGGACTAGGGAGAACTAGAGACAATTGCATATTTGATGGCGAGAACAAAACACTGTTTAGTGTGACAAAACCATCTTGTCAGTGTCAAATTTTTCATGAACGTTACAAGTGGGAATAATTTTAAGGGAACAGGGAGCTTCAATAGTTTAGTAAAAATTATCATAAAAATTAACGAAATTTTATGTTTTTAAAGAAAATAATACAGGTATTGAAAAAGAGTCTAATAATGATAATTGATTAATTTTACATCCAAAATCACTGTTTTCGTCTGAACTATCCTCACCAAGGTTAATACATAACTAGTTCTGGAACTATTACGTCCAGTTCATTACTTAAATAATTATCTTCATTTGTCGTTACGTGCTTAAGTTTAATTTTAAGTTGGGAATCAAGCTAAATCAAAGTATTTCAACCAAATACTGGCTCTTATAAAAGTTTTCTTCTAAAATAAAGCAATTTGAGCAATTTTCAATCCAATTTTGCTCGATTTTATTACAGAATCAATTCAAAACTAATATATTTTATTAGTATAATTGCTTCAATCTTAATTTTAGGCTGAAATAAAGCAATTTGTGATATTCTGAATCGATTTGGCTCAATTTTAAGGTGGGAATCAACCTAAATCAAAGTATTTCAACCAAATACTGGCTCTAATAAGAGTTTTCTTCTAAAATCCTACCTACATGTTCCCAAATTTTGTTATATTTAGGAACATAAGAAAATTCATTTTCTGTCAAAATTTTTGCAGCATCAAGCTTAAAAGTTACATTATTTCTTTACAATTTCCCAGATGTTCTCTATAGGACTAAGATCAGGATGATAAGGGGGTAGTCTCAATACTTTATGGCCGTATTGTTCTAACAGTACATCAAATTTGTATGTTATATGTTGTGCTTTATGTCTTTTGGTGATGTCATAGAGTTGTACTTTGTAACTTCTTGGGTTAAATGGTATATTTTTTTGTTCAAGCCAGTCTATCATTTCTGATTTCCTAGAACCAGATGTTGGAGCTCGGTTCAGCTGTACATTGTGATACGATGCATTGTCCGTTACTATCACGCTATTTGGTGGTAAATTCGATATTAATTTTTCTCTTAACCATCGGCCATAATTATCTGAGTTCATCTCATCGTGATAATCCCCGCTTTTAGTTCCAGATTTAAAAATTAACAATCCGTTTGGTATAAAACCCATTTCTCCTCCAGCATGTACCACGATTAACCTTTTACCTTTAGAGATGTTAGTGAAGAGACCTTTTGACGAGCCATCAGTCCAACATTTGGAACTTGTGTGGCCACTGTGAATGTACGTTTCATCTACGAATACAATAGGTCGGTCTTCACGTCTGTATTCTTTTAGTTCTTCTAAATATGTGAGTCGCAGTAATTTTATGGCAGTGGTTTCAACTCGAATTTTTCTATTGTCTGGAGTATTAGCCCATTTGAATCCAATTCTTCGCAAAATTCGACGATGTGCTGTAATTGATTGTAATTTTTTCTAAGAACTAGACCAAAAACATCAAAAATTATAACATTTTATAAGCAATTATAATTTTATTTATGAAAAAAATTAATATTTACATTTGGGTTAGATAGTTATGTTTAATCTTTACAAATTTACAAGAAAATTACAATAACTCTATCATTTCTTCAATACTTCAAATAAAACACACAAGGATTAATTTTATTCTCTTTAAATTAGTTCTCTATTATTCTCTATTATTTTTTTGCTTTGAGAAAACCCCTTGAAAATTTCCCATACAGGGTTATTCATAAATATGAAGCAATATTTGAACCTCAAAAATGACCCATAAAATGATGTTAATTTAAATAATAACTCGTGTCCTATCTCTACTGATAAGAATTTTACAGCCTTCGGAATGTGGGTATGAAAATTAGATTTTTTTATAGTAACTTTGAAACTATTTGACCAAATATTATAAAATTTGGAACATTTCCCTGTGACAACATACCCTTTAAACTGGTAATCACGAAAACCGGATACATCCACTCAATTTCCGGTTCCAGCAGTTTCAGGTTACATTTTCTGTGTTTTTCCATTTTTTTGCTCTCTTAATACCAATTTTTTATTGTCCAAATCGATAGAGTAATCAATTTTGATTAAAAAACGCATAACCTTTAATACCCCTAAAATGGATCGTTTCAAAGCTATTTTAATTTAAACTGAGGACTGCACAACGCTGAAACCAAAAAGTAGGGATTTTGAATGGATGATATCCACGGTAACAAATGACCATGGTCTCACTAATCGCTGTCAGGCATCTGTCAACTTTGACATTGGACGATTATTAGACAATTAATCGAAAATATTTAATAAAAGAGTTTACCTCAGATTCCAAACATAACTTAGAATAAATCCAAATGGATCTCGTGGCATTTAATTCATAAAAAATTCGCAAAAATTTATTGTCAAAGTTAACAGATGCCTGGCAGGATTTATGTGACCATGGTCATTGGTTTCCGTGGATACCACTTATTCAAAATCCCTATTTTTTGATTTCAGCGTTGTGCAGTCCTCAGTTTAAATTAAAATATCTTTGAAACGGTCCATTTTACGGGTATTAAAGGTTATGCCTTTTTTATTCGAAATTGATTACTCTATCGATTTGGGCAATAAAAAATTGGTGTTAAGAGAGCAAAAAAATGGAAAAACACAGAAAATGTGACCTGCAACTGTTGGAACCGGAAATTGAGTGGATGTATCCGGTTTTCGTGATTACCAGTTCCAAAGGTATGTTGTCACAAGGAAATGTTCCAAATTTTATAATATTTGGTCAAATAGTTCCAAAGTTATTACAAAAAAATCAAATTTCCATACCCACATTCCGAGGGCTGTAAAATTCTTATCAGTATTGATAGGACACGAGTTATTATTTAAATTAACATCATTTTATAGGTCATTTTTGAGGTTCAAATATTGCTTCATATTTATGAATAACCCTGTATATCTGTTCAAAGTTCTTTTGGATGAAGCTTTTAAAAACTGAGTTCTTCTTGCAAATTTATAATCTTTTGGAGAAGTGTACCTGCAGGCAATACAATAACATACTGTCACTTCAGACTATCTTGGGTTTTTAAGGAATAATTATAAATTTGCTCAAGTAAGTAAAGTCCTTTGCATCTGACACAATTTTCCCTATACAAAGTTGACCTTTACTGTAATTGTCATATTTTTCGTGAATTTTCTTAAATTTTTCAAGTTTATTTTCGGACAGTTTATTCAACTTTTGAAATGTTATATTTGCTTCCTGTAACTTTTTTTTCTAAATTTTGTATTTTTCCGAACTTATTGCATCTGGAACATTATTTAAATTAAAATCATGAGTATCACCTACTTTTAAATCGCTTTGTTGATCAAAATCAAATCGAAATGAACTTGAAATTAAATAATTTTTGTCAAATGAGTCTAGAGATTGGAGAGACGGTGCAGGCATTTCTAACGGCTTACGTCTTATCTCTTATTGTTGAGAATTTAATGCTCTATATGTCTATATTTTTTTTTATTTGCGTTTTGCCCACTGTTATGTAAATACAGCCATTTTTTTTATTTCATTATTGCTCTTAAAACTTAAACGGGAAAGGAACAACTGCGCTATCTTGCCTCACTAACGGAACTATTGAGAACGGGGACGTTTTGTTTTACATCGTGTCGTATGATCCGTAAACTGGACTAAAAGTTTTTTTACTTTTATTTATTTATTTTTTCAGAGTGATGATTTTCCGGTTACGGAGAAAGTGGCTCTTCAATTGGCCGGCCTCCAGGCCCAAGTGGCATTGGGTAACCCCAAAGACAATAATAAACTCGAATATTACACCGACATTGACAATTATTTACCATACCGGATAAGTCGTACTCGAGGCGACGATGTCTGGGTGCCTATAATAGCGCAAGCGCACAAACAATACGGTGCTAACCGTTCCGAACTAACTGCCAAAGCCCTATACCTGTCTTGCGTGATGCAATACCCCTTATACGGTACTACTATGTTTCCGGTGACCTATCGAGGTTACTGGTCGTATGGAAACTCTCTAATTTTGGGGGTCAACAGTGAGGGGATTATGTTGATAAAACCCGACGACAAATTCGTCCTTAACGAATACCGCTATCAGGAAATTGAGAGCATTCTCTTAGACCCCAGTGATAGTTTTATCACTATAACGTTACAACGACATCTCAATGACAATAACCACAAATGTTTCGTTTTCGAGACGACACAAAAGAATGAAATCGGGTCTCTTATTGCGAGTTATTGTCCGAGTTTAGCGGCGTGGTTGACAGAGAATGAAGCTCCTCAAAAGAGAGTTAAAGGGATTACGAATGAGGATAGAGTAAGGTTGTATCACAATTTGGTTAATTGTCGACGTGCATTGGTGGACCATGACATATTGAGGAAACCAACGGATTCGTCTGGAAGCTTTTTGAGGAATACGTTGAGGAGGTTGAGTAAACACAAATTGGATAAATTGAGACAGGAACATGGGGGTGATACTGGGGAGACTTACAAAGGGTTTCATTATGCATTTTGGGCGTTTAGTCGCCAACAATTGCCTCAGAGTATCAGCAGACTTCCCGATCAAGAGGAGCAGATTATGCTTCAAGTGTTTCAGATTATTTTGACCTATGCTGGACTAGGACAGAATGGTATAGTAAAATTAAGGGTAGACCGGTGCGTCATCAATTTCTTTTTTTCATTATAGCTTATTCCATATCTGGTGGCGAACTGACAGTGACAGAAAAGACACTTGGAGTGCGCCCACTTGGCTAAGATAAAAAAATACATGGGCGTACTTTTTTTCTCTAAAAATTTTGAAGACAAGGATTGTTAGGAAATATCATTTTTGAAAATTCTTTTCATGTGTTAACAATTTAATAATTTGTTCATCATTCTTCATCTTATGTATGAGTACCTACTTATTGTAATTTTTTAAAGAATAACAGTGGTTTTGAAATATTATTTGGTTCGACGCCTATGAACAATTTTTTTTTAATAGTAAACATATGTTTAGTGTCAAAATTCAGTCATTTTTGACAACGTCAGTTCGCCACCAGATTTGGAACAAGCTCTACCAACTTAAAAATGAAATAAAAAATTCTATCACAATGTAAATGAATCAATTAAAGGGTCTCTAAGGATGGTAGCCTTGAACATTAATTTACATACCAGGTGAATAAAAAGTATGGAGCCAAACGTTTTTTACTTAAACTAATTATTTTTTGAAAAAACTAATTGATGAGTGATAAAGTACCATAAAAATGTGATGATTTAACAAGAATTAATTTTTTCGAAATTTCATTTTGTTTTTGAGTTCTACAAAAAAAATATTTTTTTAAATGGCAACCCACTATAAAATCATTTTTTCCATAAAAGCTATATTCTAAGGATTACAACTATTTGCTTTATATTTAATTTTTTCAAAAAAATTTTTTCACATAAATTGCAATTTTGACAAAAAAAAATCGCATAACTCAAAAACAAAACAAAATTTCGTTCTGAAAATACGATCACATTTTTTATATTACTTTAATTTATATTAATTATTATTTTCTGGAGGCAAATGATTAAAAATAAAACCGCTTGGTTCCATACTTTATATTCACCCCTGTATGTACTTCAACTACACCACTTAAATGTCATGTTCGAGTGAATTTGTTAATTTGACATTAACAGTAACATTATTGTTGTCGTGGAAAGTCTTTTTGGTATAATTTGCAAGTATTTTTTATTTTTTTATTTATTGGTTGATTTCTTGCTTTTGTTCTGCGTCTCATTGGTTTCTTTTAATAATTCCTTACGATTAAGTATCTTCCATGAGATCAGGCACTTACTTTACTTTACATATTGTGTCTGCTATGGCACAAAATTGTCATTATTTGAGATATTTGAGATAAATTTGAGCGTTGTCTAAGAAGTCCATTATTTAATCAAGTAATTAACAGTACAAACTGAAATCGACTCTCACATAAGTAACTTTCTGGTTTTCATAAGACCAGAATAAAAGCTTCTTAACGTTTATTGTTTGTTTTCGAAGGATGTAAGATGCAACTTTGTTTTGTAGACGTCTTGAATTTCAATTTTTCTTTTTTCTTACCTGGAATAATGCATAAGATCGTCTATGATTTTAAACCCTTAAAAAACTCAATGTAAGAAATTACTTGTTCATGATCCTTATATTTATGATGATTCCTATTTATGAAATACAGATTTTGCATCCGTTTTCTTCTCAATATACCCACTGTTATTTATAAAATCGGTTTTATACTGATGTACACTAAAAATTCCGAGTTATACAGCGTGTTCCCTCTAAACCCCACATTAAAAGTATTAGGAATTGGAATAATCGTATTTATTTGATAATTGGTACATAGCCATAAACCTCCTAAATGAAAATATTTTCAAGATGGCGGCACTTCCGCTTATACCGGAAGTCGGTCTCAACTTTCTTATTTTAAATGGAAAGCAATATTTTTTTACAGCGTTTTTGGATTAATCGGGTTATTTTAAGGGACTTTTTATTAGTTTTCCCTATACCCAAATTTAGCCGTTTTTGAAATATTTGGAGTTCTTCAAACATTTTTGAATCTTCACCTTACACTTTAAAAATCGGTAACTCTGCTATTTTTTAAAATTTTGAATTCGTTTTTTTGGCGTTTGAAAGAGAAAGTTTAGATCTTACTTCCGGTATTTTCAAATTTTGAAAAAAAAATAACAAACCATAAAATTTTAAGGTTACTTTTGTAATAATTCAAATACCCATAACTCAAATTTTCCAAATGAAATACCCCAATTTTTATTCTACTAAATAGAAGGGAATTTAATTCTGCATCGAGCTGTATTAACATTCCCTATAATTAAATTTAGTAATTTTTATGTTATGGTGACTTTTTGTTAAGACTGCTGAAAATCTATTACTAGCCACATCCGTTTTCGTATAGTTTGACAAAATTGTTTCTCAATAAACGTCGACAGTGACTTATTATTTGTCGTTCATTAAACAAAAATAAGTTTTTCTCACTTGTTAGCTTTAAATAATGATCGCATGGTAGAACCTAGTAATAAATTTTCTGTAGTCTTAACAAAAAGCCCATAACTTAAAAATTATTAAATTTAGGTATAGGGAATGTTAATACAGATCAATGCACAATTAAATTCTCTTCTATTTAGTAAAATAAAAATTGGGGTATTTCATTTGAAAAAATTGAGTTATGAGTATTTGAATTATTACAAAAGTAATCTTAAAATTTTGGGATATGTTTTTTTTTCAAAATTTGAAAACACCACAAAAAGGATCTAAGCTTTCTCTTTCAAACGCCAAAAAAACGAATTCAAAATCTTAAAAAATGGCTAAATTTAGGTATATGGAAAGCTGATGAAAACTCCCTTAAAATAACCAGATTAATCCAAAAACACAGTAAAAAATATAGCTTTCCATTTAAAATAAGAAAGTTGAGACCGACTTCCGGTATAAGCGGAAGTGCCGCCATCTTGATAATATTTTCATTTAGGAGGACTTAATGGTTTATGGCTATGTACTAATTTTCAAATAAATACAATTATTCCAACTCCCAATACTTTTAATATGGGGTTTAGGCGGAACATTCTGTAGATACAACAAAAGCATTTCAAAACATAATACATAATAAATTCTAACTCGTAGAAAAAATTGACGTTTTGTCATCGCAATGAGGAGAAACGTCATTTGACGCACCGGTCAACTCCCGTGATTTTTCCCATAGTAAATGGGGCTCAAGACAGATCTTTAGATTCAAATTTTTGTTTATAGGTGAGACAATTCGGCGAGTAGAAGACGAACACGTGACCCTCTTACAGACCATTCTGGAGCGTTGTATGCGCAAAGAATCCCTCCTTTGCGAACTCTACTTACAGCTCATAAAACAAACAACTGACCATCCCGACCCCAACTCCCGCGTCAATCTCCGCCACTGGGCTTTACTCTCTCTCGCATGTTCAGTTGTTTTACCCCCCAATAAAGCGATCCGTCGCTACTTGATTGCTCACTTGAAACGCTGCAGTTCCGATTACGTAACTGAAGAAGGAAAATATGCCCGATTTGCGGAAAAATGCCTACTCAAAACTCAGGGCACGCGTCGTCGACAATGGCCCCCGTCACGAGAGGAGATCCTCTGCACGATTAATCGACGACCGGTTTATGCGCGCTTTCATTTCATGGATGGACAATACCATTCTGTCGAGTTTCATCCTTCGGCAACTGCCAAAGATGTGTTGGAGATTGTGAGGGATAAGATTGGGTTAGGGTCGGATGCGAAAGGATATGCAATTTATGAAGTTTTGGGGAATTCGGAACGGAGTTTGTCGGCTGAGGAGAAAGTTGCCGATGTTATGGCAAAGTGGGAGAGGTACAGAGCTGCAACTGCGGTCAATACTGCCAATAGTACAGGCACTGCCAAGAGGGCAAGACCCCAACATCACTTTTTCCTCTTTAAGAAGCATATTTTTATGGATAATTTTATCAATTTGAACGATCCGGTTGAGAAGGAATTGCTGTATCATCAGGTTTTGCATGATTTGAGGACGGATAGGTTCCCGGTTACTGACAAAGAAGCGGTAAGGAGTAAACAAAACTTATATACTTATATATTTATTCATAAATATGAAGCAATATTTGAACCTTAAAAATGACCTATAAAATGATGTTAATTTAAATAATAACTCGTGTCCTATCTCTACTGATAAGAATTTTACAGCCCTCGGAATGTGGGTATGGAAATTTGATTTTTTTGTAATAACTTTGGAACTATTTGGGGAGCAAAAAAATAGAAAAACACAGAAAATGTGACCTGCAACTGCTGGAACCGGAAATTGAGTGGATATATCCGGTTTTTGTGATTACCAGTTTAAAGGGTATATTGTCACAGGGAAATGTTCCAAATTTTATAATATTTGGTCAAATAGTTCCAAAGTTATTACAAAAAAATCAAATTTCCATACCCACATTCCGAGGGCTGTAAAATTCTTATCAGTAGAGATAGGACACGAGTTATTATTTAAATTAGCATCATTTTATAGGTCATTTTTGAGGTTCAAATATTGCTTCATATTTATGAATAACCCTGTATGAGTATTCCATGCCAAAACGATCACTTTTAAAACTCATTGTTTCTGATTTTCGTAAATTTCAGATATGTTACAGAACGTGTGAAAATAAGTGACACGTATTTCACCGTTTTTTATTTTTTCAATGTATGTTGAAAAAACAGGGATGTACAAAATTAAGTACCTCGGAGCAAAAAGAATTTTTATCTAAAGAACAAATCAACATATTGAAACGAATTTTTTTTTTAATAATAGGTACATTATGGACGTAATAATACATGTATTCTAAAAATTTGTTATTAAGAAATAATTTAAAAATATATCGTTTAAACAAAAAAATAAACAATTAGGCAGGTTTTTAAAGTTCTCAAAAAATTTATGTAAAAACTCTCATATATTTACTAGGTCTACATAAGTTTCAAGAGGGACGTTTTAAAACTGACTGAAAAAAAAATTATTTGAGAGCGCTGCATAGTGCATGATCCCCTAAGATCGCCTGAAAGTAGCGTTTCCTTGGAAATGAAATAGAAAAATTACCAATTACCGTCACTAATAAACTGTTCTAAAGAAAACACATAATTTCCAATAATTTATTAACATTTATTTTTAAAAATTTCAATAATAAAAAACAAATTCTTCGGTTGAGTAAAAATTCCCGGACCAACGTGACATGTCATGTAAGGTAAGGTACCAGGAACATGAAAAAAATGTTAAAAAAATCTGTCAAAAAATTTTTACATTTATTTTTGAAAATTGACATTTTTTATGTCTACGAGTATTTAATGATATTGATGATCTTGTATATGTTTTTTTACAATTATTTAGTAAAGGGACAAAAGTTTTGCCAATAAAAGCCACAAATAACATTGAACAGAGTTACAATTTAGGATACAGCTTCCTTGTTTCCTCTTCTAATAGCCTGTAGAAAAAAAAAACATGGAAAATTATTTTTCCAACAGACACAAATAGAGTCAAAGTGCAAAATTTAAACTCTAGTAAATTATTATAAATAGATTTTTTTTTACATTTTACGTTGGTCCGGGACTTTTGACACACCCTGTATAATCTAATCAACAAGTTGAAAGACTGCGATTTTTTAAATGATCATTTTAGTCGAGCGAAGCTCATAAAAGCTTATAAAAACTTCGCGAAATCTATATACTTTTATTTTAATAGCAGAAAATAGATTTTAAAAAATAGAGAGTACTCTTTCTACACCGAGGAATTTGTATTTATTATTGATATTTTTTGAAAAATAAAAGTTAATAAGTTATTGGAAATTAGGTATTTTCTATACAATAGTCTATTAGTGACGGTAATTGGTAATTTTTCTATTTAATATCCAAGGAAACGCTACTTTCAGGCGATCTTAGGGGATCATGCACTATGCAGGGGCATCAAAAAAAATTTTTTTCCAGTCATCTTTAAAACGTCCGTCTTGAAACTTATGTAAAGACATAGTAAATATATGAATTTTTACATAAATTTTTCGAGAATTTTAAAAACCTTCGTAATTGTTTATTTTTTTGTTTAAACAATATATTTTTAAATAATTTGTTAAAAACAAATTTTTAGAATACATGTATTATCACGTCCGTAGTTTATATCTATTTATATCTATTATTAGTCCGGTCAAATTAGTCATAAAAATAGTGGTCAAATAACGAAAATTCCGACAGAGCTAAATTTTGGTGGAGACCTTGGGTATACCATTAGAAATAAAGTGTCAAAAGTCCCCATCGATCCCATGTGTGCTAAAAAAGTTATTCGGGGTCAAAGGTCAATATTTGACGTTTTTTAGATTTTTTTCGAAAACGGCAAGTTTTATCAAAAAAGTAGCCCAGACGAAAATTATAGATCTTAAAATTATCTACAAAATGGTCTTTATACTTTTTTTCCAAGAATCACCATTCCTGAGATATCGCGATTTTAAAAGTTGAAGGAGTAACGTTCTACATCATATGCACATATAGAGTGCGCCAGAACTCGCGCCCCAAAGACAAATGCCATGTAGGGTAAGGTACCAGGAACATAAAAAAAAAATTAAAAAAATTCTATCTATAAAAATTTCGAAGTTATGAGAGTTTAAATTTTGCACTTTGACTCTTATTTATTTCTGTAGGATAAATAATTTTCCACGTTTTTTTGCTACAGGTTATTAGAAAAGGAAACAAAGAAGCTGTATCCTAAGTTGTAACTCTGTTTAATATTATTTGTAGCTTTTATTGACAAAATTTTTGTACCTTTATCAAATAATTATAAAAAAACATATACAAGGTCATCAGTATTATTAAATAGACATGAAAAAATGACAAATGTCAAAAAATAAATGTCAAAATTTTTTGACAGATAGAACTTTTCAAACATTTTTTCAGTACTCTGGGGACTACCCAATTACTCCCTTTCAAGGAAATGCGCGATTTTTTGAACAGCCTGTATGTATTACCAAATAAATTCTTTTTAATTCTAATGGAATCGAGATATTTATAAGTTTAATGAAGTAGAAGAAAAATCTCAAGTAAAATGAGATACCAGGAACACAAAAAAAAATGTTTAAAAAATTTTATCTGTCAAAAAAATTTGACATTTGTTTTTTGACATTTGACTATTTTTTATGTCTATTTAATAATACTGATGATTTTGTATATGTTTTTTTACAATTATCTAGTAAAGGTACAAAAGTTTTGCCAATAAAAGCCACAAATAGCATTGAACAGAGTTACAATTTAGGACACAGCTTTTTTGTTTCTTCTTCTAATGGCCTGTAGCAAAAAAACTTGGAAAATTATTTTCCCTACAGAAATAAATAGAGTCAAAGTGCAAA